AGTGTTCCTTGTAGACATGTGGACATCAGGTAATTGAGATATCCATATTTTCACAGAAACATATATGCGTAGCCTAACAACTATTCCCAACAGGGATTAGTGCGCACCATATGTTCGAGGTCACATTTTAAATTTTCTTTGCCATTCCACAGTTTTTAGAATCTTTGGAAAAGAGTTGTTAGCGAGAGATATATTTAATCATGAATTGTAAAAATTAGCACACACAGGTAACAAATAGGAAAAGAAAGAACCACACTCCAATATACCCATCAACGTTAGATCTGGTTCCTGCCCCTCAAAAAGTAGAACCTTTTGAAGAAGCAAATACTAGTACTTAAAAGGTGAGTTTGGTGTTCCATTGTTATACCCTCACCTTGAAATAACTTTGTCATTCCATTTGTAACACCCCTAAATATTCGTCGTAGACCCCGTAAAGTACATATATTTATTATTAGCATAAAATTCTAAGTCGATTAAACGATGTCCGTCCGTCTGTCCGTCTTTTGAAATCACGATACAGCCCACATTATTTGACGTAGAGTTTCAAAATATATCAGCCCGCGTTCTGCAAAGTTGGAGCAAGATCGGATTATTGCTTCTCTTTCTGTGCAGAGTTTTTTTTAAATTTCGATCTTTTGTGGAGGAGGTACCAGACGGAATGGACTGATGTATTCCATCTTGGCACCAGACCTTGAGTTAATAAAATTAGTGCCATGTGTGAAAACTGAAGTCAATCGAACTCTTAAATCAAATTTTATGAGAGTTGTAATTATTAAAAATTTTGACCCTTTGAGGGGAGGTACCTAATGGAGTGGACCGATATTGTCCATTTTCGCATAGGATTCGCAACGTTGGGGCATAATCGGATTATCGTTTCTCTTTCTGTGCGAAAAATATTTTGTGAAAATTTCGATTTTTTGTGGGGGAGGTACCAGAAGGAACGGACAGATATATTCCATTTCCACACCAGACCTTGGGTTAATAAAAATATTGAGATGTGTGAAATTTGAAGACAATCTGACTCTTGCATCACATTTTATAAGAGTTCAACATTTTGACCCTTTGTGCGGGAGGTACCTAATGGAGTGGACCGACATTTTCCATTTTCGCACCTGACCTAGCACTGATGAAAATATTAGGATTCGCAAAGTTGGAGCAAAATCCGATTATCCTTTCTCTTTCTGTGCAATAAATTATTTTCTTTGAAAATTTTGATATTTTGTGTGGGAGGTACCAGAAGGAGTGGACCGATATTGTCCATCTCCGAACTCGATCTAAGTTCGACAATAATATTACGATGTAGCAACTTTGGATCAAATCGGCCAGCCAGACAGACATCGCTAGATCGACACCAGATATCCTGAAACGGATTTGGTCCAAAGAGACCTAGGGTCTAAAACCGTTATTTCGATGTGGCACGTTTTGGCCGTATCAAATGATATATACCCTGTCCAATCATATATCCAACAAATTGCAAATAAGTTTTCACATTCTGATAAAATGTTACATCTTAATAAGTTTATTTGAGTTCTGACCAGTCAAAAATTATTTGGACTATAAAATATACTGATTATGGTCAATTTTATTTTCACATCCTCTGTATGGGATAATGAAGATTCCAACGGCTCATAAAGTGTTAATCACCCAGTGGTGCATACATTAATTTGTTTACCTCGCAACAGATGTTTTCGAAAGCGGGTTCGATTAAACTGATAACCTTTGATTGCAACGCTGCATAAATTTGTCCAGCAAAACAAACAAAAGTCTGATGTAATTGTGAATCAAATGAAATTGTTTCACTCACCTCATCATGCGATGCGTTGTTTGCCCTTTTTGTTGTATTATTTTTAATAGCAATTTTTAATTTGCCGCAAATATTCTTGATGTTTATTTGAAGTGTTTGATTTTCGGTGAGATTTAAAATTTCTTACTCAATCTTTAACTGTGGCAGAACATATGGTTTGATAATGACGTAAGGCTATTCTGTATAATATCTTTAAAATAACTCATACCCTCGATGTCTTTACAATCCCCTAAAGCTCAAATTTCAAATAAACGAGTTGCAGCATATAAAATATAAAAAAAAGAAAGTTAGGATAAAGTTGATTCTTGATAAAAAAAAATATTGGGAGTTCAGGTTCAGGATGCTGAATTGCGCCAGACACCACTCTTTCAAATGCGATTAAGATATTAAAACTACTTCCGTCGTATAGAATTTACATCGTGTAAATGGTGATTTGCTTAACCAAGGATAGCGCAATTTCCTAAAAAATGCTACAATAGACAAAACAAATGAATTCTGTGTTAAATTCCATAAGAACACTTAAAATGTGTCCATATCGGTAGTCCTCGAAATCCATATGTGTGTTATCGCATCGTAGTCCTCGAAATCCTCAGATGTGTTGTATTCTCCACGCCTCCACAAACACATTTGTGCGTAAGTCTGTCACCCTATTTATAATGCTAATCTACATTCGAATCTGAGCTCTACCACCACAGGCTAACAGTCAGACTTAGTAGCGAAAAATACTACTACCAAAGGTCACTATTTGAGTGATACGAATTATACGATCACGAGATATCACATTGCACCTGATTCAGTTAAAAATGTGACAATGGTCTTTAAAATACCAATGATCCTTTTGCAATCCTTTTGCAAGGATGTGTTTTCCACGTGAGAATTTCAAAAAAAATCAAGTTCCACTTACTCCCGCTGAAAGATGTGTCAAGACGTTCAAAATATCTAAAATCGGTTGTTATCACGAATGGGAAATTATGTCAAAATTCAGAGGTCAATTGTATTCAGAGGTAGAACTTTACATCGATAAATCAATGAAATTTCTTAAGGTGGTGTGAAGGGCATAAAGACAGGGATATTTCAACATATTAACTTATTATTATTGTATTACACCGGACAACACTTTTTTTTATTTTTTTCGATTATTATCGGGCAAATCCAGTGGATTACAAAAATAGAGCTTAAAAGATTAGTATCGGCGTTTTGAAAGTAGCCTAAACACAGGGTGCAAGTAATTTTCTCTTGCACACTTTTTTCAATTTTCGGATTAAGATTTCTCGTAATTCGTTCATTTTAGGTATATAGTATCTTCGGCAATACTGCAGGTAGAAACACGAAGAATATTTTGGTAAGAAATTTTATTCCTCAAGCGAGTCAACAAAAAGGCCTTTTTGTCCTTTTTATATATGGCTAAAAACAGCCTTTAAATGGAATCGTAGCAAGTCAAAATATTATACAAAATTATCTATCATAAAATTCTACTATAGGTCCCTTTGTGGGAGTTTGTCCAAAAATCTCCAACAAATCGTTATTTTAGAACGGTCAACGTCTTCGTATAGCCCTTATATAACGTTACCAAAGCCCTCATTATTCACCGCTTATGACAAAAGTTACCCATGCAGGTCTACGTTGTCGTATAGACCCTAATATAACGGTTACATTTGGTATTTTCAAGATTTTAACAGAATTTTTAACGGATTTTATTATTATTATTATTATTATTATTATTATTATTATTATTATTATTATTATTATTATTATTATTATTATTATTATTATTATTATTTGTATTATTATTATTATTATTATTATTATTATTATTATTATTATTATTCTTATTATTATTATTATTATTATTATTATTATTATTATTATTATTATTATTATTATTATTATTATTATTATTATTATTATTATTATTATTATTATTATTATTATTATTATTATTATTATTATTATTATTATTATTATTATTATTATTATTATTATTATTATTATTATTTTTATTTTTATTATTATTATTTATTTATTTATTTTTTTTTTTTTGAAAATTGCCAAATTCAACCTAAAGTTTTTTTTACATGTTTCCATTAATTTTTCTCTAATTTAAGCAGATGCCTGAAATTTTCATAAAATTCTATTTTAGGTCGAAGGTGTTAGAAGAAGAGGTATTTACAAAATTTCTGTATAAATCTCAGAGTAAACCATATATCTAGGTACAATAGTTTTTTATGAAAATTACATTCAAATTGGTTTGCTAAAAGTAAAAATGAGGTTTTTGGCTTTCTTACATAAAATTTAACGCGTATGAAATGCGAGTCAAAAACTCCCATTATTCTTCATTTTTTGGGGAAAGTGACAAAGTAAGAATTATTCCAGATCACATATTGTTGTTGCGTGTCTGTTAGAAAAAGAAAATTTTATTCTTAATATGTGCAATAAAAAATGACATACATTTCTGTCAATAAAAAAGTAGCCCTTTCCCACAATTCAAATTTTCTTTTAATTTCACTGCCCAATAACCAGTTTGGGTTGTAGAAATTGCAAGTAACTTGACAGTACTCGTTTTTAGATTAAAACCCCTAAGAACTTCTGGGTTCTTAGGCTAAAAGTGGCTCGGGTTCTAGTTTAAGATATATTAGGATAGAGCTTTAAAATTTGATAGAGATTTTAACTGCATATGGCAGTTTTGCCTTTCTGACCAATACCAATAACTTCATCAAAAATTTTTCAAACCAAATCGGCTATACTGATGTTAAATACCATCTACAGAACGATTTTTATACTCGTAGAAAACATAATTATTTGCAAAAACTTGGAAATATGGTCAAGTCCCTTCGAATTTAGATAAATCGGGAGCATTCTAATAAAGGCGCTACTCCAAAGTATCGTCATACATATATTGCGAAATAGTGATCGAAGGCCTAAAAACCAAGTTAAAACCAAATCGATTGAAAAATATTACCTAGACCCTTGCAATATATAAAATCAGGGGTATTGTACCAAAGATGAACCTATACGGATATTTTTTCGTAAATACCCTTTCTACATAAAAAGAACTCAAAATGCCAAAATTTAGGAACATTAAATGGAAAATATGACCAAAACATAAAAAATACATTACAAAAATGGAGTTATCCTCAAAAGGGGGCTACTTTTAACAAATATCCCATGCAACCCCGAAATGAAAAAATCATAACTATTAAATTTCCATTAATTTATTTATATATTTTTTTTTTTTTTGTTCAAAAAAATACAAAAATTGAAAGAATTTTAAGCCAATTAATTTTTGAATTTTAAACATTCAATTCGTTGCCAACGCATCGGCTTCGTCTTTAGACTACATTAGTAGTATCTTCTTTGTGGTAAACGGTCACATCGTAAAACTTGAAATTTCCAACATTGAAGTAGTAATCATGTAGGACTGGACGCTCCAAAGGATATCCCAAGGGCAAGGCGTCCACATAGCGACTGCCAGAACCAACACCACAGCTTACGGCAGGGTCGTATGTCGAGAACTGAGCTACTTCAGGAGCATGGTATGGGTATACGGCAAAGAAGAACTGGTATGTTAAACCTCCCTTCTTGCCCAAGGGCAGAAGCAAGCGACGAGGGAAACCGCATTGACCAGAAGTAAGGGGGAATTGATAATCGGAATTGGTGGCATCAAACAGCTTCTTGTACAGCTCGAAGTATGTGGTCTGGTCATTTGTAGAACAGGCAAATTCTTCGGAACTGCGTTTCAAGTGATTTACACCAGCAACCAAGTCAACGACGTAGTGATCCAATTCAAAGAAGTTTTGGTAGTTGTCCTCCAAATTCAGCACATGACCATTCTCATCGTATTTGGGGCCGAGGAATACCTTGACGACTGCTTTCTGGGTCTTATCCGAAGTGACGTCCAAAGTGAATTCGAATGGTTGATGATTGACGCGCTTTTGGCGTGCCTTGACCACGAAACTATGACCTTCGTAGACCGAGTTGCGTCCGAATGTGTACAAAGCATCAGAGGAACCTTCAACAGCAGGAGTAGCAACGTCAACAAGGTTGCTCACATCGGAATCGAAATACTCAAAGAAGGTGGTCAATTTTTCGGGCAGATGGACTGTATCGAGAGTTACACCAGGGAATTCTAGATCCTTCTTCTGGTACTCAGGGAAGTTTCCAGCTAAACGCCAATAATAACCGACAAGTTCCTTGTACAGAGAATAGAACAAAGGATCGCGCAAAGAGGTTTCATACTGCGACAATGTGCCAGGCAAAACATCGCCGAATTTGCCATAGTAACGTCCTTCGTTGACAACCTCGCGAAGAAGATTATCAAGACTGCCGTACAGTTTCTTGTCCAGGCTAAAGGAATTGCCCTGCAAAGTATTTCCAAGCTTCTCCACCGCAGTCCGGAAGTCATCGGTGGTGGTGTCCACAAAATCAGCAACGCGTTTTAAATAGAATTCAAGCTCTTTCACCAAATCGTAGTTTCCACTATTATAGAAGTTGTAGTCATTGGGCCGATCGGGGAAGCTGACACCTTTGTAGTAGGCCAAATTGCTGTAGTACCCGGGTTCGTAGTTCTGGTACACGTTCAATTGCGGTACTTCACCCAAATCATTGGACAAACGTTCCAAATAGTAACGAGCCAACAATTGCCTGTGCAAGTACAAATACAACTCACCCACACGGTCCTTGCTGAATTCATGAGTCTCAGGACCCTTGGTCCAGTAGGGGTAGTGCAGGTTGTAGTAGTAGTAGAAGGCGTTGAGGCCAACATCTTCGGTGAAATATGCCAAGGTGTGGTCGTAGTTAACATTGTCGTACACGTTGCTGTAGTTGGACTTGACGACTACGTTGAAGACGTTGTCCAACTGCTTGACATTGTGGAATCCGTGGAGGGCTTGGTGTTCAGCTTTGGTCACAGTTTCCACATCGAAGAAATGCCATGGCAGGACCTCGTACACAGCAGGGGTAGTCACACCGTGTAAGTCGTCACGCAGAACAGTGGCCAAGTTAAGGGCGTACACAAATAGTTGCTTATTCACGTGGACGCGGGCCCAGTACACAGCATGGGTGAAGGCCTTCCAGTCCTTGGCGAAGTAGAACAAACGTCCCAAACCCAAAGCGTACTCAACATGGTTGGCGTAGACTGGAGAGAATACAACCTCGTCACACAGTGGCTTGTGTTGCCACAGATCGAAGAACTCGGTCAATTTGTCGGCATTGTTGTAGTCCTCCAAGTGTTCCCATGGCAGGTAGGTGGCATAGGTCTCATCGAATTTGGTCACAAACACATCATCCTGATAGACATGCTGCAGGACTTCCAAGACAAACTTTTGCTTTTCCAAGAAATCCTTATCGGCAAACTTTTGTTGCGTTACTGGGCTGCCCAAGGCACAAAGGGCCAAGCAGACGACTGAAACTGCTGTGAACGACTTCATCTTTCGAAATCATACCCAACTACCTTGTGCGAGCCCTTTTTATACCTATTTGGAACAGATGGAATATCAGATCAAATCTATTGAGGTCTGATGAAAGTGATTCCGTAACAAACACAACATGGCTGGGGAAATTGTTTATGAAACTGTCTGGTTGAAAAAAAGAAAACACCAACAAATTAGTGTCTGTTTCTAACGCGAATCAGTCAATTTGATCTGTGGTCAACGACTTGAAAATGTGATAGTCACTTCGATTTAACGCGGGGTCAGCATCACCTCAGTGTCTGATTGCCTGTAAAATTACAGCAACATGAATAATCAATTTATTTGTTAGAGATTTGATAAGAATTCTAAAATTGTAGAATGACAACTAAAGTAGGTGTGTACGCGGACCAGCAATTTACTGTATATGTATGAAGATGTAGTTGGGAGGACATTACGACATCATTAAGCAATTTTTTTTTTTTTTTTTTTTTTTTTTGAATTGAAAATGGATTGACTGCGGTAAAGGAGTTAGACAATTTTGCTAGAGTCTAGTACAGTAACACGATTCAGACACTGATACCGATATTTAGGGACTATTCGAGGACCCGGATCTGAAGAGACAATTTTCTGTCATAGAATATAGTACCCATTACGAACTTCAAATACGAAATGTTAAACAATTCCGGTGAATAATAATTAAAATACCGGATATAGGGAGGTAGAAATCATTAGTTGATCCCATAAAAGATACGATTTCAAAGTCTGACCAACAAAAATTCGATGCTAATAGAGGTCACACTGATATTATTAGTATAATATTAGTATATTTAACATTTTTAATATTATTATTTTTCAGATAATGATCGATTGTGCTAAAAACCCGTTGGTGGTGCCGTTTTGTACCATACCCGGACGACTGCCTGAAATTCAAGGTCTTAGCATGGGCCTGGAAAATTGCCAAAAATCTCTCAATGAATATTTGGAATCGAAACGACGAATATTTCCCCGATTTTATTTCATTTCCACAGATGAGCTGCTGTCGATCTTGGGAAGCTCTGAGCCAACAGCAGTTCAAAATCACATTATAAAGGTAAGATTTTGAATTAACAATACTGGCCTCGTGGCGGTTATGTGATGTCCGACTTCATTTTGGATATTTGGCGAAGACGCTAAATTGTTACAAATTTGACAGTTGTAAAATATAATTTGGATTAAAATATATGTTTCAGTACTTCAAGGCTAGATTAGAAGTCAATTGACTGATCTGATACGGTATAAACCTTAGAAATTTTTAATATATCTGCCAAACTAAGAACCAGGCATATTGTTCCAATCTCAATTTACAATTTTGATAGAGCTCAAATATATTATACAAAGTGAATATTATACCCAATTAGGGCAATATACAAATTTTCGAGGAAAGAAATCGTATTCCACTCACTAAGGTAAGCACACAATTGATTGAGTAAACATAACTCTTATATTCTATGGAACAAATCCAAATTATAGAATTTTAGTTGGATGGGGGTGAAAACAAGGCCTTTATGGGAACACTCATTCTAGTGCCTCCCCTACAAATGATTGTGAAAAATTAGTAATCTTTTGCGGAGCCTAAGGTACAATCCACTCCATATTGGGGTCTTATTCCAAACTCATATTTATATACCAAATAAAATTTTCGTCCTGGATTTGAGAGATACCTTACACAGATTCACTTGTTTAGTTCCTTCCCTAAAAAATTGGGTTTCGGACTGTGTCTGGGGAACGTTCAAGGTTAAATGCTTTGATATGTCACATAGCCATTACGTGTTTCCGTTTCTTTATTTTTATAAAAACAAAGGGATTTTGTAATTTTTATTTATTTATTTTTTGTTTTTTTTTTTTTTTTTTTTTTTTGTTTTTTTTCTTTTTGCTGTCATTGCGTCCAGATGTACGACAATGTGAAATCGCTGCGTATAATCAAGGAGAGCTCCACATTGAGTATTGTCAATGCCATGATATCAACTGAAGGTGAAATTCTGGAGTTCCGTCAAAATGGTAAGTAAAGTTATAACTTTTTGTATGTCCCATAATTGGCCTTGGGCGCCCAATTTCATTGAATACTAGAAGCATTGCTCGCTCAGATTTTCCTTAATTGTGATTGTGTTTGTGTTCCATATTTTATTCGTTTTCATTGGCGTATTCGCCAGTGGTCATTCACAACAGCTGAGTAATAATCACCATAAAAATAAAAATAATCAGCGTCGCCATTTGCCATCTCTTTTCTTTAAACTGCTTGTTTTACTTATGGACTGTTGGCAATTGTTCTTCACATCCGCGAAGCAAATGTCTCATCTGTATTTGGGCAGTGGACGCCGATGTTCTTAAGACGGAGAGCTGCCTAGCCAATGTTGGGTCTTTCCCCCTTCATGGAGCAACGTAGCAATTGATTGAGGGTGTAGTTTACAGATACTGTTGTTTGGGGTGATGCCATTCATTTTGACGCTGATTGCAATGTTCAAAATTATTTTATTTTCGCTGTTAGCATTTCTTTATTTCCCTCTTTGTTTTATTATCATCTTCCTGATTATACGCCTTATTGCGCTGAACGCACCAAGTCTTAAGCAAATTGAATTCTTGAGAAAGCTACTGGATTTGTTTTTTTTTTTTTTTTTTTTTTTTTTAATTCAGAATATATTTAAAAATATTCTTCGTATGAGCATATTAAATTGATTTGAATAAAACACTAAGAAAAATAAATGATTTCCATGGAAATATACATGGGTTATAACAATTTGCGAGTGAGTAATACCGAATGTCATTCCAATATAATAACATCTCGTCAAAGTTAATAAATCATTGCTAATCTTTGAAACCAGATAGAGTTTGTGTTGTTTTTGTGGCCAGAAACACGAAACCATCTAGAGTTGTCTTCACCTCAAATTGCAACATTTATTAAACAGGATTCCAATCCTTTTAAGATTCCAATTCCCATTTTTCATAGCAAAAAGTTGTACAAATGTCTGACCAAATGTCAACTTATATTTCCATACAATTGTGATATTTAATTTGGATTTATTTCCATTAATTCGTGTGTAATTAGAGAATTCCAGGAAGTATATGAAAAAAATAAGATACAGCCAGACAAGTGGAACCTCTTAAATATTTTCAAACGAAATAAGGAAATGTAAATCCCTCCCCAAAATAGTGGCTCGTAAAATATCACGCTTTTTCATAAACTTTTATGTCTCTGCAAACCCCAGAAATTCTCGTCAATTGAACGGTGATCAAAAATGATTCACAATTTTACAACAAATCATAAATTTTAATAAACCTCTTCGTGTAATCTAATACTCCAAGCATCAGTGATTACAAATACATCCAATTCAAATGTTATTCTTGGCGGATCTAATTATTGTTACGAAGTCATTAATATCGATTCGAATGCTCGCCACGCCAATGACAATGCCAATATAAATTGGTGCGACTAATAAAAGAAGAAAACGAGAACAATAAAAAAGACCACCCCCACCCCTCCACGGCATTTCTGAAGCTCAAAAACGAAGAAGAAACAGATGAACAAAGCGAAACAACGAGATGGAGTATTCATTAAAATCAAACGTTTGACCAAATTTCAAATAGGAAATTTCTCAAACTTCCGTTTCCGAAATTCTGGGGCCCCCACTTTGACTGATTGTGTCCGACGACCCAACGAATGCTGTTTTAAGCAATTCTTCCGTTTCTGATGCGATCAAATGAAGAGATTCAAATCTTTTGACATGCGACAGCAGAAAAAAAAACACCAGAGGATTTGAAACGGAAACAGGAAGCAGTACAACAGTAATAATGGTTAACTTGACAAAAAAGAAAAGAATGGAATCAAAGCGAATCGAAAAATATCTATTGCCTGTCTTGGTCTCCATTCCCCTCGTTCCACATGCCAAAGAAAAACAGAAACAACAACAAATACCAGTTCTTGATTTAATGGAACATGAATCCGTTGTAAAAATTGAGGAAGAAAATTAAACAATTCATGGGATTTTTTCCGATTTCTCTTTTGTTGCGAATGGCAATTACAGGCGATACCACAACGCGGGTGGTTGAGTGTTTTATTTGCCCAAATTAAGAAGTAAAACATATTTTTTAATGAATTCCCAATTATGTTTCAAATTATATTAATTTGGATTTGTTTGGTATTTTTCTTTGTACCTTTTTTTTTTGTAACGAAATGGCTTTTATTTTGCAGCATTCCAAATAAGGCTGAACTTTTGATAAGAAATTTAAAATATATTGTCCTCACCGTTTTGTCCAATAATGAGATATTTATGGTGTTTAGTAGTTTATATCTCTTTGCAGTTAATACGTACAAAAAGTTTGATCATTTCGTATTTTAAGTTGTTGGGTCCTCTCTTAAGTGCCCAAAAGATTATTTTCAGTCTACATACACCGGCTCCTCCATTACAAAATAATCTTTGTATCTGGAGAGAAATGGTTCAGAGCCCCGAAGGACAGATTCATTATATGTCGAACTTCCGAATTATTAATTCATTAAATCGGCTTATATATCACGGCCTACATAATCTATATTTTGAGGTTTTATGTAGCTTTTCTGGTTTTTTTATACCCTCAGCCATTGCCATAGATACGGCAATTTAATATAGCCAAAACGACCTTCCTGTACCTCCCCCAAAAGGTCATATTTTCATTGAAAATATTTTTCTCAGGAAAACAGGAAACAATCTTTAAACTTTGCAAAGCTTAATATTTTTATCAGTGTTAGGTCAGGTGCGAAAATAGACAATACCGGTCTACTTATAAAATGTCTTCATATTTATTTTACATATCGCAAGATACACTACATCTTGTAGACGGTAGATATCGAACCACTCCTCCTAGTACCTCCCCCACAACGGGTCAACATTTTGTATAAACATGAAACTCATTGAACAAGTACATCCCCTACAAAGGGACAACATTTTTAATAATTAAAATGTGAAATAAAAACCCGATTGTCTTCAAAGTTCAAACATCTCACTATATCTATCAATGCAAGATGTGATGTAAATATGAAATATAACGGGCCGCTCATTCTTGTACCTCCACCATAAATGCTCTACATTCGGAATACTTATAACCCTTATAACATGCCCAACAAGTCAGCGATTCTCTTTAAACTTAGTATATCTCAATGTTTCACTAAACTCATGATCTGGTGGGAATATGGCATTTTCGGCCCTCTCTTTTTGAAACACGGAATGGGAAATACTGATCCACTCCTATGGTACCATCCTAATAAAGGGTGAACAAAATATATTTTATTATCGGGCATAAGCTAAGGGTATATTATCTGTCAACAAAACCGACTGAAACTTTTAAAGAAACGTTGTAAATATCGAAAACGTCATATATGTATGGTCGTATTATTGAAACCTCACTGATTATAATGATAGAAGTTTAATATTTTAAGAGATCTTAAAACCTAAGGCTGGATTTTTGTTCTGAATGAAAAGTATTTTCTTTAAACAATTTTCATTTGACATTTGTCCCCTTTATTAGTTTTCATTTCAGATGTTTTGTTGCAAAATAGCCATGCTCAAGACTACTGTTATTTTTATAAAATCAACGAATTTTTCGACATATGTATGATATGTCGGAGAAAATATGTCATATACCTCACAATTTCTAACAGGCCTTCTATGGTTATTATAAACTTTAATTAGATATTATTTATTCGGCAAAATCAATTAATGTGCCAATAAAAATCATCTTTTTTGCAGTGCGAGCCCAAGGAAGAGTGGAAAATTGGATGAACGATGTCTTGGACGAAATGCGCCGATCAAATCGTTATTTAACCAAAAAAGCCATATATGACTATGGAACCGACCTCGAAATCACCAGGTAAGAGTGAAAATCGATTTTCTTCCAGAACGCAAAACAAAACAATTTTTGATGTGAAGAAGAAGGCATTAGTTTTAACTCCCACACCGAACTGCAACATCCCCCAATACGTTTTATGTGTGACAAATTCATTTTCAATTTATCCCAGCCAACTTGCAGCTGGCAGCTGGCAGCTGGCCCAAATATGTTGGAAGAACATTATATTTATACATTAACTGAAGTGGCGACGGCTGTTGGCCGTTGGCCGTTGCAATGACACTTTTCCGTTCGATTTCGTTTTTTACGACCTACAATGAATAATTTTGTCGTTATAAGCGATTTATCTTTTTATTGACATCGATTAACCGCAAGACCAATATAACACTGGCGTTTGCCGACGATAATGACACTCCCCACGATGATGCCGCTGTCGCTGATGGCTTGGTTCTTGGTGGGGTTTGCGGATACTTGGCGGATGGCGGAATGTCATCCTTGTCGTTGGCGATGATATCTCCACACTGGCCGCTGTGACCACAGAGGATTTTTATTAACGGAGTGGGGGAGGGTGTGTGTGTGTGTCGGTTTTATTTGGTGTCGTAAAATTTAATGAAATCGCTTTTGTGTCATAAAATTGATTCATTCACATTTTGCCGTTAACCACGATTCCAATTTTTTTTCTTTCATGAACTTCCACCACCAGACCAGATTGGCTAATGAATTACCAAAGTATGGTTGGCTTGGCTGCCAGCCAGGTGTGGTGGACGTCGGAGGTGGAGGAAGCCTTCAACCAGGCTCAGAATTTTGGCAACCTGAGAGCGATGAAGGATTTTCTCGACAAACAGAACTACCAAATGGACGAATTGGTGTTGAAGGTGCGTTCCAACCTCAGCACGAACGACCGCAAAAAGTTCAGGACCGTTGCAACCATCGATGTGCATGCCCGGGATATTATCGAAACATTCGTGAGAGACAATGTGTTGGATGCGCGTGAATTCAGCTGGGAGAGCCAATTGCGTTTCTACTGGATCAAAATGTACGACAACTTGTATGTCATCCAGTGTACGGGACGATTTGATTACGGCTATGAATATTTGGGTTTGAACTCCCGCCTGGTAATTACACCGCTAACGGATCGTATTTATTTGACAATAACACAGGCACTCCTCATGAATTTGGGTGGAGCACCAGCTGGACCAGCAGGGACTGGCAAAACGGAAACCACAAAGGATTTGGCCAAGGCCATGGCTCTGCTGTGCGTCGTCACCAACTGTGGCGAAGGCATGGATTTTAGGGCGGTTGGCACAATCCTCTCAGGTCTGGCACAATGTGGAGCTTGGGGCTGCTTCGATGAATTCAATCGCATCGACATCTCAGTGCTTAGTGTTATTTCGACCCAACTGCAGACCATACGAAATGCACTGATAAGAAAACTGGAACGATTTGTGGTAAGTAGTTGAATGGGGGGGGGGCAGGGAGGGAGTGGCATTCTTTTAATTAAATTATTTTTGCTTTCAGTTTGAAGGAAGTGAGATAAGAATCGATCGCAAGGTGGGCATCTTTGTCACCATGAACCCTGGTTATGCTGGGCGCACTGAACTACCCGAATCCGTGAAGGCCCTCTTCCGACCGGTGACATGCATCAAACCCGATTTGGAGTTAATTTGTTTGATCTCATTATTTTCAGATGGTTTTTTAACGGCCAAAGTAAGTATGGCTGACAATTACCCAAATTGCCAATGTACGGTTTCAAGTGCAACACTAAATGATGTTGGTAGTAGTATCTACACATACACATACATACATACAAATCCAAATCCAACAATATGCATGCTTCGGTAGTAACATTTTGCTCAAAATAACCATTATGCTCCGCATAATTAGAACTGCTTCCTTCTTTTATGCCAGTCATTGCTATCACCATCACCATCGTCGTCGTCGTCATCATCGTCCTAACATCATCACGAACAGCTGTTGTAGTCTATTCAAGAGCGTGAGTTTTGACAGCGAAATCCTACCACAGTCATCTAGACCGACCACCGTCATCGCCATCAATGTCAAGCTTTTCACCAACCAACACAATAACAATTATCTCCTTTGTGCAGAATATGGGAACGTATGGAAATTAGCACACCAACTTAATTAGAATTCCCATGGGGGTGGGGTATGACAATTGAGTTGTCAAGGAAATATTTGTTCGAACAACCATGGGCAACAACTTAGAATTTTGAAATTTTTAAAGCTTCGGCATTAATGGGTTCCATGGAATTGAAATGAGTTTTATTTTATAACATCCTACCTTTGTGTATTTACGCGCTGTGTGTTCTGAGTCAAGTCATATTCGAAAATGGTCGCCTTTTGAAGTAGACCCCATTTTATAGTTTTGAATATGTTCTTATTTTCTTTTGAGTGTCAAGACTCAAAATATTGGTAGCGCTCGGTTTTTCTTTTATAGCTTTCACCATATTTGCCGTTTAATAGGCATTTGGATATATCACGAATAAAATATTTCTATCGAATCCCGAAATAAATAAGGATGAATGAATGTTTTTATGTTTTCCTCACGATCGACAGTACCCATGTCGATTAGCTCTTTTAATTATTTTTGTAAACAAGACTAGTTTTGTTCTGTGTTTTTTTCCGAGATTGTAGTCGACCTCTAATGTTAAAGGCAAGTCTCGTTCCTCAACTTCGACATAACGATTGTTGGAAAGATCTGTGATATTTTGTTATACCCTCAGCCATATGGCTAGAGAGGGTATATATCATTTCATACGGCCAAAACGTGCCTCTTTGGACCAAATACGTTTTAGGACATTTTGAGTCGATATAGGGTTGCCCGTCCGTCTGTCTGGCTGGCTGGTGAGCACGATAACTTTGAAAGGGAATAACCGATTCAGTCCAAACTTGGTACTTCGTAATATTACTGTTAAAATTAGATCGAGTTCTGATATCTCTCCCACACAAAGTGAAAATTTTCAAAGAAAATAATTTACCTCATATAAAAGGTTCAACCGATTTTGCTTTAGCTTGGCAAATGCCAATATTTTTGTCAGTGGAATAAAGGGTCAACATTTGGAATAGCTCGATTGTCCTGGTGTGAAGATGGTAGATATCGGACCACTTCTTCTAGTATCTCCCCCAGAAAGGATTTCAAATTGCATACATCCTAACACTGTTATTAACACAAGATCTAGTGTGAAGATGGTAGATATCGGAACACTCCTTCTAGTATCTCTCCCAGAAAGGATATACATCTGGAATAACCAAAATTATTATAAAATCTGAAATAAGAATTCGATTGTCTTCAAATTTCATACATCCCAATATTTTTATTAACACAAGATCTGGTGTGAAGTTGAAATATATCAGTTCACTCCTTGTAGTACCTCCCCCACAAAGGGTCAACATTTTGAATAATTATACATCCCATAGCATGCGCAACATGTCAGCGATTCTTTTCAAATTTGGTTTCTCTAAATATTCCTCTTAACCAGAGATCTGATGTGAATATGGTACCTCCATCACAAGGGGTCAAATTTTGAATAATTGTAGCCCGAAACAAGTCAGTGGTATTCATCAAACTTCGTCTATCTCAATATTTCTGTTAACCATAGATCTAATAGATATTTCGATTCGACGAAGTGTTCGAATCTCTCTAAATTTTTCACATCCCAATATTTTTATCAGCATTAGATGAAGTGGAATACTTCGGTCCACTGTATTTAGTGCATCGCACAAATTTGAGCATTTTGCGAAAATCATCACATATCTCATTTAAAGTACAGGAAGTAGGCGATATTGATCAAATCTGACCCTCAACGAAAATTGAGCGGAGTATAGGACTAGACCAATTAAAAATCCTCATTTAATAATAAGGACTTGTTATTGTTAACATTTAAAAGTTTAGTGCCTATGTCAGGCCCTAATTTTAAATTTTCGGATCCTACATCCAAAACCCATACGATAATAACATCAGATTCGGCTTAAAATCTGCCAGTCTCGTGGAAAAATATCCATTCGCCCAAATTGAGAACATCGCTACATATTGTATTCCAAAACATTCCATACAGCCCCACTGCCACAAAATTCGCTTGCACTTTTTATTGGTCGTTTCATTTAAGTGTCGCAATTTTAATTTTTTTTTACATTTTTTTCAAAAGGTCTTAGCCAAAAAGATGACAGTTTTATATGCTCTGGCCCAGGAACAACTGTCGAAACAGTGCCACTACGACTGGGGACTGCGTTCGCTGAATTCCGTGCTGCGTATGGCGGGTGTTATGAAACGTCAATCGGATGATTTTCCAGAGGCGGTGGTTCTCATGCGAGTGCTGCGTGATATGAACTTTCCAAAATTTGTGTTCGAGGATGTGCCATTGTTTTTGGGACTCATTAAGGTAAGCTTAAACGACTTTAGGGGGGCTAATTCAGGAGCATCTAATGTTTTCAATTATTTTTTTAGGATTTATTTCCAGGGATTGAATGTCCTCGCGTAGGTTATCCGGATTTCAATGCCGCCGTACGTCAATGTCTGGTTAATGATGGCTACATTCTGCTGGCTGACCAGGTATGTTTTTCCTTCAAAACCTCAGTGTTTAAGCAAAACCAGCCAAAACAATAAAAACCGAATATTTTCACAACAAATCCAGCAGTTTCAAATAAAAAAAATGTATTTTTTCTTAAGGCATTCACAAAAAAAACTATTCACTTACGTTTTACGTCCTTTGTCTAGTTCGCAGTGAAATCTCCTTTAGTAGAGAAACGTTAAATTCTCGAACGGATACAATTTTCTTGCTTCCTGCATATTTTCAAGAACGTCTTTTCGTTGCCTTTGCCTTGTCCTTTTCCAAATGGACATCAGAATGACGGTTCACAACAATGGCTGCAAAAGTGGAAAGCACTTTCGTGTGTACCTATACGAAAATATTTCTAAACATGCTTCCGGCATTGAGAATAGCAATGTTTCTTTTTCCACATATTTTAGATCTGTTGTTGTTTGTGTTGTTGCAGTTGTTGGCAATGTTAGTACCAGTCAGAAACGTCACTATCCTTTTATGTTTTTGCCATCATTTTTTCATCTCCTTTTTGTACTAATTTTGCTTTGCACATAACTTGGTGGCATGCACAGTAACCGATTTCTAGCTCTGGAAACAAATTGGAAATTATGGGGAACACGATATGGGGCAAACAGGTGGCAAATATTCTGATAGTGAACCAATTGATAAGGTGGATAACAGTCAAAGGAACTCTTATGAATTTCCCAAAGGAAATTTCTTCAAAATATACTTGAGTAACCCCAATCATCGATTTGTTTATTATTAAAGATGATTTTATGAATAACATTTCTCTCACTTTTTTTTTTTTTTTGTTTATATAGCTATTTTATGACAGTTTATATACCTTTTTTATAGAGTTTGACAACTGTTATCCCAATCCAAAACCGACGACAGGACACTGTGCAAACGTAGAAACTTTAATGCTGCTAACAACAATGTCATAATTTTGCCATTATTATCCCTGACACTTAACAATGATTTTCAAGGGATAAACAAAACACCCTCACATCAAGGACGGAACAAAGTGACAAGACGAAAGAAACTAAAGTCTATTGATGGCATTTTTTTTTTCTTTTTTGTGCAACGTAACAGCCGTAGACAGTTTGACGCATTTAAGAATGTATCAAACATTGGTTATGAATGTTGCCAGGCACTCTGGACACAAATGCCCGTTCCATGGAAATTGAAAAATGAAGTAATGCATTAGTAGATACTGAAAATATTTCAAGTTATTGGTACCCCAAACAATTTGGAAGTAAATGGCATTACCGCAAATTTTAATCAATCTTAAGAAAGTGGAACAAGTAAAAAAGCAACTAAAAATCCCCATCAAAATTCGGACAGAAATACTTTTGGAACCATATCTATAAGTACTGCGACCTATTTTTCGAGCGGAATATATTTGTTGGTTATTGGGAATTTCCAATACCATATTTCAAAAAATTAGTCTAATATCAAAATACTGAATGGGAGGTAACATATGGGGTCTATACGAAGTTCTTACAAACTGTCAATTACCATCAAATTCAATTGAAAATTATGACTAAAATAGTCAAAACTCCTGGGGGTACCGTTATGATTTGATACAGCTATATCAAAAGGTGGACCTATATATTCCATATATATACCAATGCAAGTTTTCTGCGGATCTAAAATACATCCCAGCAACATTTTTTCAAAATACTTCACTTCGTTCGGAAACTTCACAAAAGGGTGACATTTTTATACCCTCCATTATAGTATGGACGTTATATTAAGTTTGTCATTCCGTGTGTAACATTCGTATTTGAATATTCTAATGGCCTATGACAAAATTTCGTCTTCGTATATACCCCATATTAACTGTAACTCCCATTATTTTATGATTTTTAACAGTATTTCTCAACTTGTTAATAATCGTAATATGAATGTAAATACGAATTTGAAACGAATACCCAATATTCTTTAAACTTTCTTCATTCCATTTTTCCTTCCAAATATGGCGCGAAAATAGGACATATCAGTCTTCTCATTCGGGTACCTCCCCCACAAAAATGTTAAATGTTCAAACACGCAAATCTCATATAAATAGTATTGAGCACCCAAATAACTTGAAACTTCCTTAACGGCCCACTACTCATGGTGCCTTAACTACAAGGCATCAGCATCTCACAGAAATTAAGAAATTAAAAAAAAAAACAAGTAAAGATGCTGTAAGTTCGGCCGGGCCGATCTTTGAATACCCTCCACCATTTGGAACGATTTTGACAATTTTCAAAAAAAAAAAAAAAAAATAAATAAAATCCGTAAAAAATTCGTTTAAAATCTTAAAAATACCGAATGTAGCCGTTATATTAGGGTCTATATGACGACGTGGACCTGCATAGGCAACTATTGTCGTAGACCATTGCAATACTCAAATGCGAAACTTGGATGAAAAAATTCGGTGAATAATGTAACTAAAATCATCAAAATACCGGATATCGGGAGGTACCGTTATATTAGGGGTATACGAAGACGTGGACCTGCACAGACAATTTTCAGTCTTAGGCTGTAGTATCCATTTCGAACTTCAAATACCAAAACTGAAACAATTCCGGTAAATAATGTCGCTAAAATCATTAAAATACCAAATATCGGGAGGTACCGTTATATGGGGGCTATACCAAAACGTGGACCTACATGACCCATTTTCAACACCAAAAGTCCCAAAGACATAACATACATTTGAGTAAAATTTTATTAATCTACTTCAATACGTTCGGAAGCTAGAGTGATTTCCACAGACGGATAGACGGCCGGACATCGCTAAATCGACATAGAATTTTATTCTGATCAAGAATATATATTCTTTGTGGGGTCTAAAATGTATATTTCGAGGTGTTACACACGAGGGGGTATAAAACTGCCTCAAATTGTTTACATTATAATAAGAAATATCTCTCACAAAATATACAATTAATTTCCGAATTTGTGAAACCCCCTTCATCAACCAAAAAAGGTCAAATTTTTTAAGAATCTTAAATTACGTATGAATGAAACGTATGAACTTTGCCCATTGCTATATGAACAGACATGTGAACATGGCAAACAAACTGATTCTTGCTCACCTGTTTTTATCCTCATCTGGATGTCCATAGGATTTTGGGTTTTTTCCACTCTCCTCACTGTGTGGGTGTTTTAATTGTTTGCAGTGGAGTCGCCGCACATCAGGCTCGTATTGTATACCTCGCTCGTGCTATAAACCAAGGACGTGGTTTGTTCGATTCCTAAGTATCAGATCTTATTTTTGATGCCTTGTTCATTTTCAAAGATTTGCTCTTAGCTGATCTGATTATGTTAGTTTGGTTTAAAAGATGTCCGAGAATACTGCTAATTTTAACAACGAGACAGGAATGGTATTCGAGCCACCAATCAAATTACGATTCTTTCTCTCAATCCAGATGTTCTCATTTTTGTATGCAAAATACTCTCTCCTCAAATGACTTCATAAGTACCTCCCTCATTTTTACATTCTTCCTTGCAATTATTTTGAAAAAAAAAAAAACAATTAATTTTGGATTAGTTTTTTCTGAAACTTTACAGATTCTATGGTGAACACTTCTGTTCACAGCTTATATAAAGATGGACAGAAAACGGAAACTGTTCTAAGAGCATTCGAATCTGTAAAGCGTTGAATAAATTTGTTAAAAGACTTTGTAAACATCATGCATCGTATTATATACTCGATCCTGCACGATTCCTGCTGACCAAACAAATGTTTATAAATCCCAATTCATGGATTATCTCATATATTTGCGTGTGTATGTATTTTTACCTGCAGAAAAAAAACAGAATGCTACCGCTTTTCCTTTTGCAGTCTTTCAATGTCCAATTTTTAATGTAAGATTTTCACTTCAAAGTAGTTCTGATCGATTAAAGTGTTTCCTGTTCTGTTTTTGTGTGAGACCAAACATCAGCAGAGACAAGGCACACAAAGTCCTCTGGTACTTGATGCTTTGGCCATTGTAACCTTTTTGCCTTCGCCTTCGACGTCATTTAGCCACTGCCGTAATTGTCATCCCATATCCTTTTATGTTAATTGCTTTAGTTATGCTAGATAACACTTGCAATTAGTGAAGAGGAAGCAGAAGGCAGACACCACCAGCCGAGAACTGACAATTGGGCGATGCAGGATGATGTTACACACACACACACACTCATCCCTATCCTATGTTTTGACTTATCGACCAATGAGTGTTTTTTTTACAAATTTCCTTTTAATGCCACTCCATGGTTCACTTTTGCTACTAACACTTTTTCTTGGCTCTAATGATTCCTTTTCGTCTTTTTTCCCCCACCTGCATGTCGCACCGCATTACCAAAACCGACAGGAGGATAAAGTTGTGCAAATGTACGAAACAATGATGACCCGACACTCAACCATGATTGTTGGGCCAACAGGTGGCGGCAAAACGGTTGTCATAAATACCCTAATTAAGGCTCAGACCTATATGGGTCTGCCAACAAAATGCATTACGCTTAACCCAAAGGTAAGTAGCAATCATGCCACGAGGTAAGATAATATCTTTTCAGCTTCCTTTATTTGTGTTTCTTAAAAAAATAGTTGGTTTTCATTGCAGCTGGGGTAGTTTGTACGAGGTTTGTTCAAAAAGTATTGCAAATTTTCTTTTTCTCCAGATTATGTTTATTTATTTGTGGGTGTATACATTTCACCTGTTTTAAAGTAATCATCTCTCGATACTAAGAAATATTGTACAGCCGATAGATGCTGACTTTCACAAAGCTATGTCACAGGGAGTATTCATAAAATGTACCATTTCTACATTTCGGAGAAACTTTTATGTTTGATCCATTTTCGAAAAAACAAAAACAGTTTTCAAAAATTAACAAATTAACTAAATGGCTAACCTTCACAAAACAGTAAAATGGACGCGCCCGCTTAAATTCAAAATTCTTTGAACAAACCTCCTACATTTAAATGTTCATTGATATTCGAAAACTTAACAACTAATTACGTACTGGGCATATACATTAAGTTTTCCTACTTTGGTGGGTTTGTTTATCTCTTCCTACTTGTCACTCCCAATAGATTCCATGTGTCCCAAAATAATGTATATATAGAGGGTGAGATAAAAAGGCTGCAACAAAGTCAAACGCCATAATTTTTAATTTTTTTTTTTTAAATTTTATTGAATGAAAGCAAAAAAAGTAGGAAATAGCATCAACTTTTAGAATAAGTTTAGATTTGTTAGAATTGTCACGAACGGCCAAATATAAAGAAATCACACTATCACGCTTGTCGGACGAGTGCCTTAAAAATGACAGCAGTCTGAAGTTGGTTACAGTCTTTTCATCTCACCCTGTATACACTTAAAATTGAGCTGATAGGCGACTGACTAATAATCAGTGTCCATGTAAATTGTAAAACAAATCCTTGAACTATCGATAATCATCCTGGAAACTATATTTCGATCCTGCGTAAACTACTCTGTCTTTTATTTATATTTATTTTTTTCGTCAGTCTGTGGCCTGGATGACATTAATTGTTTATTATCTCAATTTAATTTAGATCATAATGATACTCTTCACAAATTAGCTGTCCGGAGGAAATGTCAATGTAAATTTTAAATAATTGATGACTAGATTGACATTAAAATGAAATCATTAATGATTCAAATAAATCGCACAGAGTTAAAATTCGCGACACACCCACAGTTTTTTTGTTATTTCTGTAATTAACAAATGTTAAAACCATTTTAAAAATATAATTAAAACAAGAAAAGGCCAGATTATTTTGAGTAACATTTCTATGCCTTTAAAATAACTGACTATAGAGGTTAACTGTTGCAAATAGCTTTTTATATAGAAGCACCAATCGATTTTATATATTTCACCTCTTCCACAAGAATCACTGACACTTTCAGGCAGCTCACACCTTTTCTTAAATTACATAATACAGGAATTGGCCTTTGAAATAAATGCAGTTATATTAGTTCAATATTGAGGAGAAGAATGAATGTATTTAGTCAGTAAGGCAATATCTTTTACTTTTATCAGCGGTGCTCAAGAAGAAATATCTCTTTTCAGTCAAATTTCTCTTTGCTTATTTAAATCAAGAACAAAACAGTGTTAAGTCATTATTTATACAAATATTTTTTATCTATTTGCTTTATAAAATATTTTGGCAAACGTTCGTGTTTAAAAACAATTAAATAGAACCGTAAAATATAAAGACAAACAGAATTTTAATTTTCTCTTAAATTATCTCTTTTTTCTCTTCTTGTTCTAGAACACGGTTTTGAGCACCGCTGCTTTTATCGAGGATTATAAATATTAAAACATTTAAGTTTTTTCTATAAAAATAATAATTTTGGAAAACAAAACTCATCGCTTCAACTCGATATTTTCACATTTTAAGAGATTGCTTCATTGGTGTTCTTGTTGTCTTTTTCATATTTCTAAAAATTGAAATTGTTTGTCTCCTCTTCATTTATTTGGAATCCCTACTCAAAATCAATATTCTTACACAAACCCCTGAAACGCCATAGACAACATCTGCTGATCCGATTTTTTCGATGATAAGCGGTCTATACTTTCATTAGTCTATACTCCCACTGGAATTCGAGTAAAGAGTGAAACTCTCAAATTTTTCGGAGGCCTAACAACTATAACTTTCTATATTCCTGAAAGGCTATCTCAAAATTTAAACATACGTTAATACAAATGATGTCGAATCACAAAAAATATATTTGGTTTTACAAGATATTGAACCAAATCAAAATATATGATAGTAGAATATTGCATTATATTTGAAACATAGCATTTATTTAATGTAGAGGAATAAATATTAATTAAGAAGATACACTTGGGGTCGACATTTAGTTTTAAAAGACATATTCTAATTTGCACCGCATTAATTCGAATAAATTTCATTCATTTTCATTTTTTTATGTATGAAACGTGTTAAACTCATTGTTTTATTAATAACGTTTTTTATTCAGTCTGAAGAGTGCACACACATGGAATAGTGTGAATGAAATTATATTTGCCTGAATGCCAATACAAAAAAATTAATGAATTTTCTTAATTTAATTGCAGGCATGCTCCGTAATTGAGTTATACGGTTATCTGGATCCGGACACACGTGATTGGTTAGATGGCCTGTTTTCAAATATTTTTCGAGAGATAAATAAACCAATTGAACGTGACGTAAGTATGACAATGTATTAAGGGCATAATAACGGGCGAAAATATGGAAATACTATATTATACCAAATTATACTATACTATATACTATACTATACTATACTATACTATACTATACTATACTATACTATACTATACTATACTATACTATACTATACTATACTATACTATACTATACTATACTATACTATACTATACTATACTATACTATACTATACTATACTATACTATACTATACTATACTATACTATACTATACTATACTATACTATACTATACTATACTATACTATACTATACTATACTATACTATACTATACTATACTATACTACTATACTATACTATACTATACTATACTATACTATACTATACTATACTATACTATACTATACTATACTATACTATACTATACTATACTATACTATACTATACTATACTATACTATACTATACTATACTATACTATACTATACTATACTATACTATACTATACTATACTATACTATACTATACTATACTATACTATACTATACTATACTATACTATACTATACTATACTATACTATACTATACTATACTATACTATACTATACTATACTATACTATACTATACTATACTATACTATACTATACTATACTATACTATACTATACTATACTATACTATACTATACTATACTATACTATACTATACTATACTATACTATACTATATACTATACTATACTATACTATACTATACTATACTATACTATACTATACTATACTATACTATACTATACTATACTATACTATACTATACTATACTATACTATACTATACTATACTATACTATACTATACTATACTATACTATACTATACTATACTATACTATACTATACTATACTATACTATACTATACTATACTATACTATACTATACTATACTGTACTATACTATACTATACTATACTATACTATACTATACTATACTATACTATACTATACTATACTATACTATACTATACTATACTATACTATACTATACTATACTGTACTATACTGTACTATACTGTACTATACTATACTATACTATACTATACTATACTATACTATACTATACTATACTATACTATACTATACTATACTATACTATACTATACTATACTATACTATACTATACTATACTATACTATACTATACTATACTATACTATACTATACTATACTATACTATACTATACTATACTATACTATACTATACTATACTATACTATACTATACTACTATACTATACTATACTACTATACTATACTATACTATACTATACTATACTATACTATACTATACTATACTATACTATACTATACTATACTATACTATACTATACTATACTATACTATACTATACTATACTATACTATACTATAATACTACTCTATACTATACTATACTATACTATACTATACTATACTATACTATACTATACTATACTATCTATACTATACTACTATACTATACTATACTATACTATACTATACTATACTATACTATACTATACTATACTATACTATACTATACTATACTATACTATACTATACTATACTATACTATACTATACTATACTATACTATACTATACTATACTATACTATACTATACTATACTATACTATATACTACTATACTATACTATACTATACTATACTATACTATACTATACTATACTATACTATACTATACTATACTATACTATACTATACTATACTATACTATACTATACTATACTATACTATACTATACTATACTATACTATACTATACTATACTATACTATACTATACTATACTATACTATACTATACTATACTATACTATACTATACTATACTATACTATACTATACTATACTATACTATACTATACTATACTATACTATACTATACTATACTATACTATACTATACTATACTATACTATACTATACTATACTATACTATACTATACTATACTATACTATACTATACTATACTATACTATACTATACTATACTATACTATACTATACTATACTATACTATACTATACTATACTATACTATACTATACTATACTATACTATACTATACTATACTATACTATACTATACTATACTATACTATACTATACTATACTATACTATACTATACTATACTATACTATACTATACTATACTATACTATACTATACTATACTATACTATACTATACTATACTATACTATACTATACTATACTATACTATACTATACTATACTATACTATACTATACTATACTATACTATACTATACTATATATACTATACTATACTATACTATACTATACTATATACTATACTATACTATACTATACTATACTATACTATACTATACTATACTATACTATACTATACTATACTATACTATACTATACTATACTATACTATACTATACTATACTATACTATACTATACTATACTATACTATACTATACTATACTATACTATACTATACTATACTATACTATACTATACTATACTATACTATACTATACTATACTACTATACTATACTATACTATACTATACTATACTATACTATACTATACTATACTATACTATACTATACTATACTATACTATACTATACTATACTATACTATACTATACTATACTATACTATACTATACTATACTATACTATACTATACTATACTATACTATACTATACTATACTATACTATACTATACTATACTATACTATACTATACTATACTATACTATACTATACTATACTATACTATACTATACTATACTATACTATACTATACTATACTATACTATACTATACTATACTATACTATACTATACTATACTATACTATACTATACTATACTATACTATACTATACTATACTATACTATACTATACTATACTATACTATACTATACTATACTATACTATACTACTATACTATACTATACTATACTATACTATACTATACTATACTATACTATACTATACTATACTATACTATACTATACTATACTATACTATACTATACTATACTATACTATACTATACTATACTATACTATACTATACTATACTATACTATACTATACTATACTATACTATACTATACTATACTATACTATACTATACTATACTATACTATACTATACTATACTATACTATACTATACTATACTATACTATACTATATATACTATACTATACTATACTATACTACTATACTATACTATACTATACTATACTATACTATACTATACTATACTATACTATACTATACTATACTATACTATACTATACTATACTATACTATACTATACTATACTATACTATACTATACTATACTATACTATACTATACTATACTACTATACTATACTATACTATACTATACTATACTATACTATACTATACTATACTATACTATACTATACTATACTATACTATACTATATACTATACTATACTATACTATACTATACTATACTATACTACTATACTATACTATACTATACTATACTATACTATACTATACTATACTATACTATACTATACTATACTATACTATACTATACTATACTATACTATACTATACTATACTATACTATACTATACTATACTATACTATACTATACTATACTATACTATACTATACTATACTATACTATACTATACTATACTATACTATACTATACTATACTATACTATACTATACTATACTATACTATACTATACTATACTATACTATACTATACTATACTATACTATACTATACTATACTATACTATACTATACTATATACTATACTATACTATACTATACTATACTATACTATACTATACTATACTATACTATACTATACTATACTATACTATACTATACTATACTATACTATACTATACTATACTATACTATACTACTATACTATACTATACTATACTATACTATACTATACTATACTATACTATACTATACTATACTATACTATACTATACTATACTATACTATACTATACTATACTATACTATACTATACTATACTATACTATACTATACTATACTATACTATACTATACTATACTATACTATACTATACTATACTATACTATACTATACTATACTATACTATACTATACTATACTATACTATACTATACTATACTATACTATACTATACTATACTATACTATACTATACTATACTATACTATACTATACTACTATACTATACTATACTATACTATACTATACTATACTATACTATACTATACTATACTATACTATACTATACTATACTATACTATACTATACTATACTATACTATACTATACTATACTATACTATACTATACTATACTATACTATACTATACTATACTATACTATACTATACTATACTATACTATACTATACTATACTATACTATACTATACTATACTATACTATACTATACTATACTATACTATACTATACTATACTATACTATACTATACTATACTATACTATACTATACTATACTATACTATACTATACTATACTATACTATACTATACTATACTATACTATACTATACTATACTATACTATACTATACTATACTATACTATACTATACTATACTATACTATACTATACTATACTATACTATACTATACTATACTATACTATACTATACTATACTATACTATACTATACTATACTATACTATACTATACTATACTATACTATACTATACTATACTATACTATACTATACTATACTATACTATACTATACTATACTATACTATACTATACTATACTATACTATACTATACTATACTATACTATATACTATACTATACTACTATACTATACTATACTATACTATACTATACTATACTATACTATACTATACTATACTATACTATACTATACTATACTATACTATACTATACTATACTATACTATACTATACTATACTATACTATACTATACTATACTATACTATACTATACTATACTATA